GGTTACAAAACATACACATCTCGATTCTCCAGTGTGGCAGTATTTAGGATTCAAGCCAAATCAACGAGGCCAACCTACGGACTTGAATGAGCCGGGCGGTGTGTCGCATTTGTTTAAAAAAGGTAGCGACAAAAGCAGGCAATACCACGCATTTTAAACTACACCTAAAACACAACCACTCCATTCCGTTTTCCCAGCTGGTAGCAAACACGGCAGCTGGAGATGGAGAGCCCCCACCTTCCCGACAGTTTACAATCAAAGATGCATTTGCCCGACAATGCAAACAACATGTTGGTGTTCCTTGCTCGAAAACTTCGAAAAACAGATTTGGATATGGCCTGTTCAGGCATCTGGGTCTTTGTATGGACAGTGGACTGTACACATGACTGTTGTTTTAAGGAGATTTTTTTTGCTTGTGAGACAATGTGTGCTCATATTGATTTATTTATATATATATTTATATATATATATATTATTCTATTATAGAGATGGATAGATAGATGGATTGAGAGCTCTGTTTTCCAGCCTGAGTCTATTTAATTTATTGTTTTGGTTGTGTGTGATTTAATTAATTTAATATAATTTAATTAATTTGTTTTATTTATTATATATCATTTATATATTTTAATATTATTTCACATTTCATTTGCAATGTTGAATGTTCAATAAAAAGTTCTGTTTGAAAGGATGTACTAGAATTATTATGATATATTATCAGTATGTCAGTGGTCTAAAATGGTCTTACAATGGTGCCGACAATATTATCGTTTATCGCAATAATTTCCAGGAACATTTATCGTCCAACAAAATTATTTATCGTGACAGGCCTAGCCAATGCTCCCTTATCCCCAAATGTAATCTTTTCTACATCTCATTGTGGTACTGATAGGGATACTTGTTATACAAGGCAAATTGAGACCATGTTGTCTAAAACAGTTTGGTGGTTTAACATTAACGAAATTATGTGACTGTTTTTATAATGACATGCATATTCAAATGTGTTAAGTATGGAACAATCACTTTTGGCTGATCCGCGTGAAGGACACAATGCTCAACATTTGCTCGACCAGCTTCTCAAATGTCATATTTTGCAGCTTTTTCTCAGTTTTCATTGCCCAAATCCCAAATTTGATGATCAGCTTTAGGAAAGTTTGATTTACATTTCTCATTATCCAACATTTTATTAATGACTTGAGGAAAATATTGGGCCTGCTACTTAGTGCTAGGGATCTGACTGGGTGAAGTCTGTTTAATGACTGGTACGACTGTTTCAAATTGTGCATTGACACATACTGTACAGCTCATCTAGGTATTCTATATTATTTCAGGGTTGTAATGCATGTGGGAAAGGATCTTAAGTCTGGTCGTATACAAAGAGGTCTGCATTTCAGATGAAAATAAATACTATTAGTGGTAGTGAAGTGTAGTAGTGGGACTTCGGCAATCTCTAAGACAGCTATCGAAAAATCAACAGCCTTGGTAAACTTGAGTTGACATGGTTGTAAATCTTCAATCCTCAGAGACACCATGATGTGGCGATAGTAAGAAAAATCAGAGGTCCATGTGAAGAGCGCTGCTTCTTGGTAAAGGCCAGATCAATACTGCAGCTACTGTAGTCGTGTTTGGAAAGAGAACATTGATTGTGAACACGGGGATTATCAGAGAAACGAAGGCCGATACATGGATCATAAGACGGGACAAAGAGAACCGCTGTTACCTTGGGCCACTGAACACAAACAAGAGAAAGGTCAGCCAAAGCCACCCAGTGCCACTCTGGCCCGTGTCGAACTGCAAAGCGAAACTAAAGCGTTAAGCAGGGCAGACAGGTCGGTTTCTTGAATGTCATACACACTCCTTTCTGGCCACAGGAAATGAAATGTGTCTGCTTCTCTTATGTTTCTGTCTGGCATTGCATATTCAGGCCTGCGGTGAGCTAGGCAGAGATTCAATTATGCAGTGATTGAATGTGATTTATTAATCACAAAGGGAAAAATGTGGGGTTTAATTTCCCACACCGCCTCGAGCTGTGGCATCTGCTCAAGATGACCGCTCTAATCGCTACCTTGAGTCATTTGGAAATGAGCTGCCGGCTGGATGTTGGTGGTAGCTTAATGTGCACAGGAGGGTATTTTCACTCATTTTGCTTGGAAAGCTGGTGTAAATTACATCCTGCAGGCATCGAGGTGAGAAATGTAAGGCTGTTGTGTCTTTGTGCAGTAGCTCTCTTTTGCCTCACTTCACACTCATTCACAGCCATCCTCCTCTCTTTCCTAATCTCTCTCACAAGTCAGCGCAACAGAAGTATAAAAAAAGTTTTGCCAGTAAACAAGCCGCAATAATGAGAACATAAAACAAAATGATAATAATGGTGCTTCTGCTATTTCCCTCTCCCCTTTCCTTCTCTCTGGCCCATTACTTTCCTAACTGTCTGTGTTTGTTTTTCTCCCATGCAGGTACTTTGTGTTGGATCCAGAGTTGGGACAGCTGCAGTACTTTGTCAACGAGCAGGGGAAGAGCCAGAAGCCTCGCGGGTCCCTTCCTCTAATCGGTGCATCGGTAACCCCGAGCGATGAAGCTCCGCACATGTTCGTTGTCAATTCTGTCAATGGAGAGCTGTACAAACTCAGAGGTGAGACCTCATGGCCGCTGCAGGCTGCCCTTATATGGGAACGTACAAACACTCAGTGCAGTGTGTGTGTTGAATGTTGGAGTCGCTCGGGGTGCAGTGTGAACAGACTGGAGTGTTATGAATGAAATTAACTTTTTTCTGAACAGTGTTTGTGAATGCACTGTACTACTAACATATTAGTAGTTTTGAAAGTAAGTTTTACTCTTAAAGCTGCAGCTCATCATTACTTTTAGAATAACAATGGATCCCATGACGAATTATTATTATTTCCCTCAGCTCTATTGAGCACATTATTGTCTTATAGCTATTTGTTTAAGTTTTTATGGTCCACAACTTTACTGTTTTGATTAACTCTCACTGCTCTCATAGCTGCATTTCCAGTTCCATTAGGCATCTGTTTTCAACAAAAGAACTCTAAAAAATCCACTTACATTACCTGTCCCCAACAGCAGACAAACACAGTTAGAGTTTAGTTGGTAAGAAAACCAGAGCTAAGACAAAGTAAATATTGGTTTATTATTAACTTACAAGCTCCTTATAATTCCTTTTTTTTAATTTATCAAACCTATTAAGTTTCAGCTGCTTATTAGGAAGGATTTTCTGATTCTGTCTGTTTTATAGGATTTTAAATTGAATAGCTCAGACAGAACAAGCAATATACCAGAATCAGAATAATGTTTTATCAACTAAATAGTCATTATTCTTGCGAGTTGTTATTCCAATATGGTGCAATGCAGAGAGCTTTAGATACAAATACTCTCTGATTATAGTTGTTATATTGGCATCCCAACCTCAATCAGTGTTTTTTCCCCGTAAAAAGCTGCATATTGAGGGAAATGTTTGACCAAAGCATAACATTTACACTAAAGAGAATTATAGCTTTAAGACCCAGTGCCAGACACAGAGCCTGTAGCCTGTCACTGTGTTGAAGGCCCCTGCTTTCAGTGACCTGTATCTGGTAAAGCGAGAGAAACTCCTTTTTTACCGTTGCTCCACTTGAGCTGCTGGAATGTCCCCTTTCACTCTCGAGGGGGAGGATATCATAATAACTTGGCCTATATTCCCCGAATAACTTAGTGGTCCATGTGTATCGAGCTGAGAGGAAACAATGATCCATCAGTGAAGATGAAGTTGGGTTGGGTAGCTAACAGGAGTTTCAAATGCCTCAGTGAGATTTTAGAAAGATCAAGAAAGTCCTGTGAGAGTAAAGTTATCTTTTGATACAATTCAGTTTAATAAACACTGGGCCGGTTTAGAAGTTGAAGACTTCCAACAACATTAAACTGCTTTCAAATACTATTCCTTTGAAAATAATTGCGGTTAAATATCAACACTTTTTTCAAAAACCTAAATTTGCTCAAACAGCAGCGACAAAGAGGCTCACATGGACGTAAGCCAGTATGGTTCAGATCTAGTATTGGTTACCATGCGAATCCCCAGTAGCTCACCTTGCAGTAGCAAAAGAGTAACTTCAAGGTTCAGTCAGGAGTCATTTTCCAGGATTTGAAAGCTGATGGTCTGTCTAAAGCTTTAAATGCCACCTTTATTCTAGTTTTGATGACCTGAGTATCTTCTTACACCAGTTAACAACAAGGACATTTTGTGCAAAATGTCCTTGTTGTTAACTGGTGTAAGAAGATACTGGATACGCTAATCTGCTGCTACCTCGAGGCAGGGGAGTTTCAGTATCACAGTGATTCATTTTCTAAAAAGCTTTTGAAAGACTAAAAGGCTATCTGACACCCAACCACTAAAACAAGTTGTTTTAAGGTCTAAATTGGTACAGATGTTGCAATTGTGTTCCTTCAGCAAAATATTTCACATGTTTTGCCCAAGATCTCCCTCTCAAGCAGGGTACTTGTTGCTCTTTTTTTGTTGGATGTTGTTTGGACTTTATGCAGCTGGTAAGAAAAGAGGAGAGATTCTTTAGAGCTGAAAAAAGTCTAACAATTCAAGTGCCTTTGGCAAACTAATAACGGATCATACAGATTATTTATCCTAAAAAGACGCTTATATTGATCAGCCATTAAAGACAATGCAGTAAAAGTGAGTGTAGTAAAGAATGAAATACAACATTATTCATTGAGTTTAGATTCAATAACACTTTTTTAACACTATAGGTCACATGTGTCCAACTCAAGGCCCGGGGGCCAAATCAGGCCCTTGTTGGATTTAATTTTGGCCCGCAGGATCATTTTTAATTACTATTAGATCTGGGCCGCCGGTATATTGCATGCACACCTTCGCTCAATCCTGAGGATTTCCTCAGCTCAGAGCCTGACCTGGCTTTTTTGTCTAAAACATCATTATGGAAAGCATGATTTCCTGTTTAACTATCATTTATTATTTGGTAGCTATACATTTAACCATTTGAATGGCTTTTTAGATGTTGTTGAATGACCCCCTTTACCCTTTTTTGTGTCTTATATGCACAAAAAAAGGACACATCTGTTATTGTTGTCGAGCATTAAAACCTCGCCAAGAACATTGTTCAATACAAATCTGCCAAAATATGTCAAGCTTTTGCTACTGCAAACAATTTGATTGGTAATTATGTGATTTTACATTTTGGGCTTTCTTTTTGAAAGTAATATAAAATTCAGACACCAATCCCATGTCGGAAGACGGTTATCTTAAGAAAGCAGTTTGTATTTTGATCCTTACAAAACCAGAAATGTAAAGTTGTGTTTATACAGGGATTGGTAGTTGTTTTGCTTCCAGTCTTTATGCTAAGCTAAGCTTCATGGCTACATGCTGGTATCCATATTTAACTACAGAGTGGCATCAATCATCTCTTCTAACTCTCTGAAGGAAAGCTAATGTAAACATTTCCTTTCAGTAATGTATGAGCCTACCTTCTAACTGTTTTAAATAAGCTTGAACTATAGTTTTGTGCATTTGTGAAAAAGAACAGGAGAAACAGATTGCTCATTAGCATATATTAGCATAACATATTTTGTGATCTTTATAGGTTCCTAAATTAAATAAATTGACCTCATGATAATTTCCCCCATAGTGTTTGTCTTATAACGTAGTTCAGTAAAGTAATGTAGCAGTACACTTTTCTGCCTACACATGACATTCAAGTCCCCTTGCATAAATATTTCAATAAACAGCTCAGCACACAAGGTGCAGCAGTCTAAGGCCCCATTTACACGGGAACGCAAACGAAACGCAAACTAACCAAATTCGATATCAGAAAAGTATTCCGTTCACACGGATACGGCTCAATAAACGTGTCCCTTCACACGACATCGCTCGTCCCGCTGGAGATGCTAGCTGTGTCCCAATTCAGCGGCCGCATCCTCCTGAGGATGCATTCTGGAGACCGCATACGTCACTTCCGCCAAACGAAGGCTGTCCCAATTAAAAAAAAAGACAAGACTCCTCCGAATGCGGCCCGCAAATGCAGCCTTCTTTCCCCAGATTTAGAGGATACATCTGATGTACACTCCGCGGTGTACCATATCCCAGGATGCAACGGGTGACGGTGACGAATGAGTTTTAAAAAAAAGATATGGCTTGTAACGTCCCATCAACGGCTACAATGGTTTCAGCTGGATTCGTTTTTAAATGTAAGTATGGGGTTTCAACTCACCCAAATAGTAAACGACATGAAAGAAAAGTAAACCTATTTAATTTGTGTATTTAAATAAACGGGCAATTGGAGATGTCTTCTTTATATTACATACATAAAATAATATGAAGTGAAAATATTTCTAAACCCTGTTTGGTTTTCATATTGTTGGGATTCATTATAAAGCTAATTTATTTATTTAACTGCTTTTGTTATACAAATCTTACTGCAACAATTTTGTTTTGATAGGGAGCANAATCTATATTTGAAAACAGTTTGAAAACAGTTTGAAAATATTTTGACTAGTGTCAGAAATTCCTACCGGCACTTGTGACTGCAGCTGGTTGCTAGGTGACGGGGGCGGGGGATTTTTTAACTTAATTTAAACATATTATATAACACCAAAATAAGTACAGCTAGATCTGACTCAATATTGAACAGTTTTGAAAATAGTTTTGAAAATAGTTTTGAAAACAGTTTGAAAACAGTTTGAGAACAGTTTGAAAATATTTTGCCTAGTGTCAGAAATTATTACCGGCACTTGTGACTGCAGCTGGTTGCTAGGTGACGGGGGCGGCTAAATGTAGGGGTAAATGCCGGTGACGTACAAGGACATGCTCCGTAGACCGTCTCATTTGGGTCGTCCGCGGACTGCGAGGCTGGGTCCAGCAGCTGTAGTACATATGCCGGGCCTGTAAGTGGCGCTGTACTTCCGCAACAAAATACACCAAAAGCAGCGAAGAAGACCCCCGAGCATGGTTGCCATGGTTGCCTGGTTGCCCTTCTGTTTATTCTCCGTGGTGGATTTAGCAACATGTAGTTCTCCATGTCCACTTGTTGCTGATGGTTGTGGTAGAGGAGCTGGAGATTTTAAATCTAGTTAGAGCTGTTAAGAGCCAATTAAAACCTAAAGTCAAACCTAAAAAGACATTACTTTTGAATATAATATGGTGTAACTGATTTAGTGTGAATAATAACAGGGAGGTAATTTTAATGAGGAACGTCTGCTTGCTGTAATTGCTACCACTCGACTATCCTCTCTAGTCCTGTACGTAGATATTCTTGAAACATACCTTTTAGTGACTCGCTCATTAAATCTCTTAGATATGCAGATATAACTGCTGGTCTGATTTATTAATCCTCATACTTACCATTATCAAAAAAATAAACATCTTTTGCAGTGCTGTAATTAAAATGGGTAGGACAAGGCGATGATCAACTGAGAAGGAGGTTTATCTCTTTTTTTACTCTGAAGTGTTCATATATCCTTCAGCCATCTCCCTGGGATGGATATCTACATTTAAATAAGACACATGGACCCATATGAGTGTGTATTGTTGCTTTTTTCAAATGTGCAGGCAGACTAGTTTCTCATGTCTCAGTTTAAAGCGCAAACCCTCATGCATTCATCCCATGAATAAAGCTGTCAGCATGTTACCACTGAGGCTGCACCTCATGTGACACAAACCCAGCTTTGAATTTTTCATCAATATCATATATTCTCTCTGAATGAGAACAGCACGTCCTGCTCTGAGCTAAAGCAGTGTGCATATCTCTTGCATCACCATGCAAACAGGTGCATATTAGCATAGCAACACTGCTCTGCTCAATACAGACAGCTAATTATCTTTAATCACAGCTATGCATGTGCACATTGCAGAACAAATCAGAATTAGCCTCACACTCTGGGTAAGTAGCTCCTTTTAGAGAGAGGGATTTTGGTTGATGATGAGGTATAAGTGGGAAGGTATACCTTTTGCATAAGGAGCTTGGCACAGGTGTTTTCTGTGTGAATATTGTGTTCTCCCCCGGAGAGGCGAGCTGCCGCTCCCAGTGGGAGAGATCGGCTCGAGCGCTGCACTTGACAGGAGCTCTGTGAACGTCTCATTTTCTCAGAGTTGCCTCTTTACTTAAAGAGGCCTTTTTGTAGGTGCTCTCATCATGACTGCAGCAGATGTCTCAGCTGCGATTGATTGACAAGTGCAAATAGAATTTTCCATACGTTGAAATCTCTTTCAGCAGCACTGAAAAAAAACACTTGCATAGAATGGAGAATTACAAGTGTCATTTCAGTGTGCATTTTACTCCTTATAATAAAGCCATTAATTATCTAAAAGAGAAAGTGCTGCATTTGTTTAAAGCTCTTCTTTGGATAAAAATAGGGAGAAAAATGTTAAATAGTTTAATAAAACTGCGAGAAAGAGTTTATTATCTTAAAAGGAACGTGTATACGTCAAGTGATAACATGTGTTTTTTATTTTATTATTCTATGGTCCTACAGTTGGGATTGACCTCCAGCCTGTGTTATCAGACACACCAAAGACATCGTTCTCTGATAATTAGTCAGTGAAATGGGATCAGAAGGATATTATTTTCCAGTCTGACCTGGAGCAGGTCAAAACAGGCGGACAGTCAGCATCTCCTTCGAATGTCAGGGTTGCAGCTCGCTGTGTTAGTCAGCAATTCTGAGCTTCAATCAGCTATTTGTGTGAAGATAACAGGGGGTATTGTCTCTGCCCCGAAGGGGGAAAAAACCACAAGCATGCAGAGAGTATCAAGCTGCTTCCTGTGCTGCTGGCAAATCGGCCAAATTAATTGCTTCTACCCCTTGAATACTGAATGTTCAATTTATGACAGGGGGGGAAATGAAGGGGTTCAGATGTGATGCACAGACCTCATGGAGAAAGTATCAGGGTCACATGGCCGGGAGGACAGTTGAATAATCATTTGGCTGCCAAAGAGATCACTGACATCCAGCAGGAGGGCCTCACTGATTTCTGTACAGCACAGCTTAGGCTATCACTAGATACATTCAATCATCAACTCCGGCTTCAAGCCTGCTCTGTAATTGTTATGCTGATTCCCTGATCATTTTATGGGCTGTGCGATTTATATTAATTCACAGCAGTGGAATAGTTAGATGAGAAGATCGATACCAGCGTCATGTCGGTACCGTAAGCATAGCTAGAGCCAGAAATCTGTCATCTTAGCTGAGCACATAGCTATTGTTTTTTTTTAGGTTTTACCCGTGTTCAGTTTTAATACTAATGTTCTTTTGTATTTGTTTTTCTGTTTGTGCATTATGAACCCATTTATTTATTTGAGCCTTGAGTTAGTGTTAATCTTATACTTGAAACTAATTTAGTGCCTAGAGGAAACCACACTTCAAACCTACACACTCGACACCTGCACTAAATGTGTTTATGTGTATCTCCTATCAGGCCATGTGTCCTCTCAGTGAACTGAGTTTGGGGTCAAACACTTTTCACTGCATCGTTTCAGACCGGTTGAACTTGATCCTCCTAACCTGGAGTTAAATAAATACTGAGCTTATCAAAATATGCAGCAAATTAGTTATAATCAAGCAAGAATGTGTAGTGTTTTTTAAATTTCTCAAATGTTCTGTTTTTCTGTTAGGCTCTGAGACATTTAAAGTAGCATTTTGTTCAAGATATCTATATAACAACCTTCTGACATTAAATGGCCTTAGCAATTACTTTAAAAAGAAAATCAGAAATTGTTTCAATTGTTAAGACTTTTTGTCATATATTAATAGTAAATAGACCTCTGATGCAGGCACACTGATTTTATGATTAATTGGAAAAAATAGGCAAATTTTTTGTCCAAAATAATTTGAATACCCATTATTGTTTATTACCTGTATTATTCCACCTTGGTTTCCAAAACTCCTAAAATATTTGTAAGGACAATAATTTGCTCTTCTAACTTTATTCCTTGGATTTCTAGAAAAGCTGTGAAAAAGCATTTACACAGTAAATTGATACTAAAACCGTGACAGTTTATTAAATAATGTTCTTCAAAAGAGATTAAAATGTAAAATAGGTCTTGTGATAACTGCCGCTTTGGTCGTCGTGCTGATGTTTAGTGCTGTGTAAAAACCTTGGGCAATGATTTCAAAGTTCATCTGAGGAAATGGGATCCACAGTACAATAATAATAAAAACTGAATGAATGTGGAGAGACACTTTATGGCACACAGCTTTCTTATAACAGCCTATTGACCTGACTGTGAACTTGTGTAACAATTGATTGGTGTTTCTCAATGTCTTCTGTGTGTAAAGGAAGTGAAGGCTTGTTCTGTAATCTCATTTATTTTTGTTTTTTTTAGCCTCCGACGCCAAGGAGCAGCAGTTTTGGATCCATCAGCTCCAAGCGTGTGCCAGGCGTCACTCTGACAGCAGTGCCAAGGTTAAACACACACACACACACACACACACACACACACACACACACACACACACACACACACACACACACACAGGAAGTAAGTTGTAAACATGTCACTGCTCCTGTTCACTCAGGTCAGGTTATTGAGTTCAACAGTTTGTCATTCTGTACACAGGAAAGGATCCTCCACCCCCCCCCCCACACACACACACACCACACACACACACCACACACACACACACGAGCACAGGAAGTAAGTTGTAAACATGTCCACTGCTCCTGTTCACACTCAGGTCATGGTTACTTTGAGTTCACCCACAGTTTGTCATTCTGTACAGCAGGAAGGATGCATCCACTCCCACCCCCCCCCCCCCCCAGGTTAAAACCATCTTCAGTCAGTGTGTGAGCCTTTCTCTGTTTCTGTTCTGCTTTAGTTTATTGACATTTCTTGTGAGTCTAAAGGTGACACATTTTTCCATGCCATTTCCCAATTCAAATGGCATCATCCCTCAGGAGACTCATTTAACTTTCCCTCTGGAGTTTTAAAGTTCTTTCCCGGCTCCTTATTCTCATCATCCTGGCCTGCTAAAATTACCTTTTCTCTCCAAGTCGTGCAGCACCCTCCAACTCCAGCTCTTAATACTTAGCCAAGTTCTTACATAATTACCAACTAATCATCTACACTCCACACAAACTAGATTTTCACTTATAAATTAGTTGTTGAATAATTGCTTAATATTGACAACCTGGAAATGCCAGTTGTATCTGTTTGTAGATAACTGATGTAAGTGACAAAACAGTATTCTCTCATTTTCTGACTCCTTCACTCTTTACCTATGAACTCACAGGGAGATTAAATACACAGTTACAGAGTTTGATAAATGTCAACCAAATAAATGCCAAGTCCCTGCAGACAACAAATAACGCCTAATCAATTAAATCTGTCTGTGAATATCATTTAAGCAGGAAATAAATAATCCGACCTTTGTTCAAATAGTTAACAAATAAGGCAAGATACAAAAAAAGTGAAGACCACTTTTCTTGCATATTTGATGAATTTGAAATGTAATAAATAATGTACAAACTGTAAAATATGTGAAAATCCACAACTTACACGCCACACAGAGCTCAGCTTTAACGTGTCATGTGCAACTTCTCTTGCCTGTATAATTTGTGAATATTTTTAGCACTTCTATGGGAAATATATCAGCACGCTTCTGCTGCCTTATTTGAGAATTAATGTATCTAATATTCCTGGTTTCATGGTCCTGTTCATGTCTCTGTGGCCTCATTTCTCAAAAAGGACGGTGTTGGGTGCAGTAATAACTATCTTTATCCACAACCAGTCTTTTAGCATATCATGGCTTCATATTTGGGAAATATTTTGCCTGGACTTGAAGGTATTCATCTGTGGGCTGTCTCTATCTTTGGTGTGATGTAGCCCCATTTTCCTGATCCAGTGGATAATGAGGAGTCAAGTTATTCAAACTTTATTACTTTGGCAACTTTTGGTATTAATGTTAATAATGTGCTGTCAAGGTATATTTGTTGGCCGGCCGCAGCTGTAAAGGATCAAGCTAATTGTAGGATGCTTGTAATATGTTTTGATCTTTTGAACTTCTGAAATTCATTTGATGATTATTTTGTGTTTATTTGTAGAAACTATTGCAGAAATGCCAGTGGACATTTCAAGTTGTGTGAAGGATAAACATATATCTCTTTATAATTGTGAACAATCTTGACAGTCTATTACACTAGCAAAGCTTTTTACTCTACTATAAAGCACCTTTCTGTTCGCCTTGCTTTGAAGCATATGATTTCATCTTCCTGCTTCACTTCACTTTATGTATTATATTTCTCATTATTCTGCCTCTGTGTGTGGTTTCAGGTGAGGAAGCTGAAGGGCTCCGATGAACACTTGAGTGTGGAGAGAGCAGGAGGAGGCCAGGAGCTGCTGGTGAGTCAAATGCAGAGATTCACCTATAGTTTTACCTTTTAAACGTTAAAAAGGACTAGGAAAACTCCAACTTCTGTACTGCAGAGCGCCTTTTCTTCCACATTTAGACTACTCTTTGCAAAAAACCCTTTTCATGTGTGCTTTTAAACAATCACTGCAGCCTCATTGTGCTGCCTCATCACCGGCTCCCTCATTCAACACGTAGCTCTTCTTCAAACTGCTGCACAGCTGGAGCGAGGGGAAAGTCCAATTACTCTGCTGAGCCGTGATGAGAGAAAGCAGTCAAAACACGAGAGAAAATTGGATAATCAAGGAAAAGGTTGAGGAAGGAAGACAGTCTCTCTCATTTTCTTCCTGCCCTCTGGAGCTGAACGGGCGTTTTGTTCCTGTTGGTCGACTGTGGGGCATTACCATGGGAGCAGCTGTTATTACTGTACCCACTGCTGTGGTCTAATCCGTCCCTGAGCCTCTGTCTGCCTCTCAGATCGCAATCACAGCTCCTCTGTGACAACCAGTAGCGGAGCGGTGGCTACATCCCTGATAACAGGACAGGTGTAGCAGGATTTATTTATCACCAAAAATAAAATGCAAGGGGTTTATTGTCCCTGTGCTTATAAGAAATTTAGTGAAAAAGTGCTGACACATTGTATACTGTTGATTGAGACAGATGCCGTAAAAACATTTATTGGACTTGCCTTAGGCTGGCGTCACACTGCCCCGAGATTGACACACGAATATGGAATTGTGAATTTTGCACGAAGATGGCCCCGAACTTGGTCAACAGCCAAGCAATAACCGAAGAACCATGCCTACAGAAGGCCACACGATGGCACCCGAACCACACATGAAGGCAACACGAAGATGTGCGTTTTTATAGTAGTTTACACCCGCAGGACACACGAAGGCCACACGATGGCTACACAACATCGTATTGAGAGTACGATGCGTTCGAACTAGGTCACGAAGGCGTCACGTGACCTCCCGATGGTAAAAAACCTTTGGCCGCACCGCAGGTGGGAAATTAAATTGCTGATCGGAGATTACAACAATGTAATATCGTTTTCAGTTTCTCAGAACACAAATTGGGTTATTTACATAATATGTTTACATGATTTTGTTGTGCAATAAAACAACCAGAGAAGCGATCTGCAAGGAAACATAGCACACCGTGTACTCATGCTCCTGTTTCACCTGCTTAATACAGGTATCATCACTGCTACTGATTTCGATAGAGCAGGTCACAAATAGCAAGGAATGACAAAGTGAAATAAGACAATTTTTACCTGTAAGAGGAGGTGCTGGGCCGGTAAGAGTTGCTCATCATGTTCTCTGAGGTGCATCAAAAGAAGCAATGCTGCTGCCTTCTTTTTCCTGGTTGTCTCATCATCAAAGTATGCCATTCTGCAGGAACTGAATTGTGATTAATTGTGATTGAAGCTTTGGGAGTTACACTCGCCTCTGCTCTGTAGAGTTGCTCAGGACTGACTGAGAAAGATGCTCTGAGGCTGGCCTTTTATATGTCCACGTTACCATGACACATGGGAAACGCTTGAGCTACTCAAATTCGGCTGTCTTCGCCAACACCGTGGTCCCATCTCGATGTCATCGTACTATAATACGATGGCTACACGACGGCATTGCGAGGGCTTCACGTAGTCGTGTTGCCTTCCTTAGACAATCTGGCAGCTTCCTGTTTCCTTCGTATTGTCTTTGTGAGGCGAAAAATGCCCGATGGCACCGATGATCACACGAAGTAAAGACGAAGATGACACGATTGGACAAGATGCCCTCACGATGGCCTTACGTAGAGCAAAATGGACACACAAATTCAACACGAAAATGAACCTTCGCAAAGGTCTTTCGGCAATTTCTTGGCATGCCAAAGATTTTGCCACCGCTCACAAAGTTGCTGCCGGAGCCTGAGAAACTCCACTGGCGGTCATACGATGGCTTAAGATGCCCTCACGAATGTCCCGATGTTGTTACGATCAGAGCCGAATTTGAAAATGTCCTTTATCGTGTGTCCATCTGGTGTCAATTTCGGGACAGTGTGACGCGGGCTTTAGGGATGCATTTAGTATGAGGTTCATGTGGTGGAAGAACAAGGTAAAATATTTTGGTTCGCTAGTTTTTCTCTCGCAGAGATAGTATAGAACTTTATCTGTGGATCGCCAAAAATATGGCAGTCACACCTGAAGATATTGTATCACAAATTTAAACCTCAAAGTACCATTAAATCAGCACTTCTTTGACACAACAGACTTTTTGGGCTTAACTTTCTCATCTCGAGGTCAATTGAATATCTGCTCTGGGGCTTTTGATCATATCCCATAAACAAAATGACTTACCAGAAAGACTCATGAAGGCATGATGAATAATAAATCAACACTTACACTTGGGTATCCGAATCAAAAAATCTCACCTCAGGAAGTGTTCATCAGCTGTCTCAGAACTACCTTTGACACTCTACTCAATAATTAAAAACTTCTGTATTTCATGTATCTTTGAAAGGACATATTATTTCCTTGTTTCACTCTTTAATGGTAAGGTTTCTATTTACAGCACCTGCTTTGAACTTAATCTCCTTAATGGTAGAAGCAGAATCCTTTTATCTACAGTATACAAGAAAAACACAGGAAAGTATGTTTCTCCCTTAGTAATAACAGTTTATATCTGCATAATGACATAACCACATCGTCTTTAGCGACCTCACTAACGTGTTGTCACCATTACATCTAACAACAATCGGAATTTTGGATTATTATTATGTGTGGAGACTCTTCCCTGTGGCTGCAGATTTCTATGGATTGTCATCAGGTTCAGTTCAAGACCGTATCAGTCAGTTTTCTCTGTCAGATTGTCCGGTTACAGTTGGTGGTTTTTCTGGTAGCTGCTTTCAGATGGCAAATGTAGTTTTTCCTGGATTAATAATTTCAGCTAAGACCAGTTAAACGAAACATAAAATGGCCAAACATAGTTTTTCTAGCTTCTGCAAAGCCTGTCAATGATTTGTAGACTATTAGATTTTAGTCCTGGATAAAAAAGCTTTTGTATAACAGTGCCCGACAATACAATACAGTCCAGCACAACAACACAAATTTGTCGTTTCTTTTAAAGTGAAGGATTGTTGAAAGGCCTTATCTCCATTCCATTCATAAAGGATGGTTCATTGTTCCCTATGCTGAAGGAGATAAGAAACGCAGCATTGAAGCAAGCTTACTTCTTACAATGGCTGCCATTGACGTTTTCCTGGGTCATTGCATTGTATTTCAGTTAGGAACCTTCCTAAGCAAAAGAAACGCACCCCTGGTCAGACAGTGAGCACATCTGCAAGCTAATAAGCAACATGATAAATAGGCCAGTAACTATGTAACTACATGCACACGTAACCCTGGATAGGGAGGGCAGTAAAAGTCAGGCTGTGGACTTTGACTGTCTTTCATCATGTTGTTTACTTTCTGCTTGAATGGAAAAAAGCAGCTCCTGCACCTGCTGTTGTGTTTGGCTGTTTTTGTCTTTTAAACTCAGCTTTTTTCAAAGTTTTACTATGATTACATGATACAAATAGTTGTATCTGTTTATATGAATCTGTTTAGGCTGCAGCATTTATTGAAATCACAATATTGACTATAGTGCAATATCTAAATCACAATAAGCACAATGTTTGGTAAAGGACAAATATGTGACAATATCTGAATTAAGTAATACGTACAGACTTTTTCAATGATAATGTGAATAATGTTGTATAATATTAAATCATTATCAATACCTCCTCACCTAACCTATTGCAAATAATATTGCAGTTGCAATATCAGTCAAAAATAATAGCAATTAGGTATGTTTCCCAAATCCTGCAGCCCTAGTATCTGTGTATATGTATTTAAAAACTATGTTCATATCCTCTAACCAAGATAATATAATACTGAGAAGCTAATTGTGTGTAATTAGCATTGTCCCCTGTAGTGCAGAACATGACAGGTCAGCAGCTGACCGTTGCACAGCTACCCACGCTGCCTCTCTCAGGTCCACCCACGGCCGAGTGACAGCACAGCACCTGTGATTTTAGTCAGTTTAGTCAAGCTGGGAGTATCCTTATATGTAAACGTTTAGAAGACAGGTGGTCCTAAATGTATCAAGGCCTTAAACTTTTATCATGAATTTTCACATTTAAGGGGTCGAGCTCACAGTAATGGTGTGTGTTTGTATATTGCATTCTTTATCAAGCTGTTGCAACATTTTCACAACGTTTCTGATGTGTTTAGCTCTGACTGCAACATAACTCTGAATGTCACAAGATTACTGCAGAAATCTTATTACCCAGTCATATTTCCTTGTAACTTGAGTCCTTTAAGCCTTTGGAGCGTCATGTCCTTCAGAGTGAAACGATCTGCCAGTGCAGTGAGAATATCTTCTTCTCTTTACCCTTTTTAAAAAAAAATCCCGGCAGCCTTCTTCTTACTCTATAAAAACACAGATATGTCCAAAATAAATATTTAAACAATTTTAATTAGAATTTAATTACATTTTGAAAACAACATTTTAAGAATTTGATTTTAAACTGGAATGATGATAAGTTCTCTTTCATAACACTCCGTTCGATGTCTAACTATGGGACTATGTCTAACTCATCGCGGAGCAAACAGAAGCATCAATCTCATTACGCTAATCCTGATTGGCTGGTGATCTTGACGTCAGTGTCAGGGAATCCACCCACCCTATAAGTAGCTTGCACCACGTCGCAGCGTCATTCAAACACCTCTTCTCACTTCAGAGCACATCTCGATATATCAGTAGCCGGGCTAGCTTAACAGTCCACAGACTGAACCCAAAGCTAACTTTCGGTCTACGGGAGCTCGCCGGCTACTTTCCTGCTTCACAAGAAGACTGTCACTAACACGCCAGTTAGTATTGCAATCTACCTCGCCGTTTCTTTCTTCGGAAATAAAGGTAAGGTTTTGATTTTTTCAGCTAGTAACACACCTGTTGCTAGCTCGCCTTCCCTTACTACCGACACCACGGTAGCGAGGACGTTTTTTCTTTTTCTCTCTCACACCAGAGGAGAAGAAGATAAAAAGGTATTAACACACCAGTTAATATTCTTTGAGAATAAAAATTTACACCGTCGCTTTTTCTCCGGATTAACGACAGGTGGGAAACAAAATGTTTTTCTCAGCAACGTACCTGTTACGAGCGGGTCCTCTCCACTCCGTCACCACGGCGAACAAGATGGACGCTTCTCTCCCTCACACCAGAGGAGTCAGGGACTCGGAGGCTCGGCTCTGCGGCTGCGGGTTGAAGATATCAGGCACAGACTCACACCAGGTCTGCTCGTCCTGCCTCGGGCTGGAACATGCCCAGGAGGCTGTCGACAACCCCGGCTCGTGCGGGCATTGTGCCCGCTTCACCATCAAGAGCCTCCGCCGACGGCTAGCACTCCAAGCTAGCTTGTCGGGACAGGACCCCCTCATGTCTGCTGATTCGCCGGCTGGCAATCAAGACACGGGGGCGTCCGCCGCAGAGATTGAGCCCCGCACTGTGTCGGTCTGGGGCTCAACAACAGCGGCAGCTGCAGAACCAGAGTCCCACGCCGTGTCGGGCTGGGACCCGGTGGCGGCAAGAGACGCGAGAGCGGAGCCCCGTGCTATACCAAGCTGGGGCTCCCGGCTGGATCTCACCATGGTCTCGCCCGCGGAGGATGTCCTGGAGTTGGAATATATGGAGGACGAAGAGGAT